ATAGTAACATAACGAACTTTCTTTCCCAGCAAGTGATTGATACAAAGTTTCAAACACATGGTGGACATATTCAAAAAAATTACCTGTATGTGATCAAGAACTGATCTAACAGAGTTGAGAGAAATCCCACGCTCTGCAGATGGACCGCCGCATACCAGTCCAACTCTGAGAACCCTCCCCCCACTCCCTTCCCCTTTTTCTGTCGCGCTATCCACCACTATCTCTGCAGTGGCGCATGGAATATTGCTCGCGGAGAATCGCGCGTCGCAGTAAGATGTGAAAGAACCAAAGTTGACCTCGCAGTTCAAGTTGAAGAACTTGGAAGAAGGACCACTATAAATTGCCTTCGCAGCAGCAGAAAACGGCCGACTTCCAAGTAAGCCGTCCGCATGGTCGGAGCGAAGTAAGGGGAGCTTGGAGGCAAGAGAAAACGACGCCATGGATAGGAAAAATCAGAGGAGATTTGCCGGAAAGAAGATGATAGGAAGAAAGTTGAAGCTGATGGATTTCTGATATAGAAGAGTTCGACAAGTGTGAGTGACAATTTAGGAAGGAAGAAAGCGAGCAATGAGTCGAAAATAGTGTGGAAAGGTGACTGAGCATCTTTTGTCTGGTTATCGCTAAGACGTTAACAATCATTTTTTGTTGGCATCGCCCGGCAGAATAACTACTTGTTTATATCCACCAAAAGGTTGCCGATTTCTTATTGGACGTCTAAGTTGTCCTATTGCACCGAAGTACATTATATCCGATTTTGCACGCTCGGAGGTTACTTTGTTTACATTTATGGTGAGTTTCAAGTCATTGTCATTTGGATAAAATAATTGATCAATATGTAGTGGTCGTTTACTCTTGAGATTTTGATCAAGATTTTATACTTACCTGCTTCAAGATTTGAAAATGAGGTTTTTTCCTATAGTGTGGGTTTTAAAAACCTAAAGTTTTATTTGGGATTTGGGGCATTGTGGATTTGGAAAAAGCCTTTGTTTGTTCACTCGTTTTAATCATGGATTTATTGGTGTTTGAGCCTCGTCGCCTCGTGTATGAGGTGATCGGCATTGGACTGAGCCGATGATTCCAAAACCTCTAATCTATTACGTATTGAGCTTGAGTTTGGAATGAAATAAAATGAGTTTGAGATTTCAAAGTAATAATAATATTAGGTAGTTTAGTGGCTAAGTGTGTTGACTGGAGTCAAGTTGCAAGCGAGAGGTCCTGGATGTAATTTGTGAAAGACAAGGGGCAGAATCGACATTTTCGGACAACGAGTTTGAGAATCAAAACCTATGCATTCTCTCCATTTTTCAGCCGCTCACACTCACTTCCCCTCTTCTCTCTCGTTCTTCTCTAATTTCTGTCCGAAAAAGGAAGGAAGAAAACAGAGCCAATCCATTCCGTCTCTCTCTCTCTCTCTCTCCCTCTGTCTCTCTCTTCTAATCCATAACTATCTCAATCGGCCGCTGTTCTTCCCTAGCGCCGACCTGCTCTCTCTCCTCTCTCCCTTTCTGGTAATGACGAGAAGGAAGGAAGAAAGTGGAGTCGATGGCGATGGCGAGAAACACTGGCGATTGACAACGGCGACGATGGTGACGGTCACGACGAAGGTAAGAGGGGATATTCTGGCGTGCATGTCGGGTTTAGGAGGTTTAAAGTTGTTTTCGAAGGGATTTTAGGTTTTCTTATTGCTTTTCTGAGTTTTTTTTGTTATTCAGATCAGGGAAAAGAGGCGGAAGTTGCGAGAACGGGAGGGTGAAGAAGGCAGCAGGCGGCGTTCGGGTAAGTTTCTCTGCTTTCTGTGCTTGTTGTCGGTTTTGATCGAAAAAAAAAGGTTTGAACGGTGATATGTTTGTTGTTTTTTTTTTTTTTGGGTTTTGATCGTGAGGAGGAAAGGCGTAAACAGCGGCAGTGGCCTGAGCATCGCCGGCAGTGGAGGGGGAGCAACTCTCGCCATCGGCCACACAACAGAGGAACAAAGCGGTGGATCAGGTAGGTTTGTTTTTAGTTTTTTTTTTGGTTATAGGTATAATATGCCCCTCTACTATGGAGTTTTATCAAACATGCGCCTCCACTATTTTTTACATCAAACATGCCCCTGTACTTTGTAAAAACAATCAAACATGCCCTTCTGTTAAAATTTGCGTTAAAAAACTATCAACCATGGTCGAACCTTGCTTTGGGCGACACCTATGTCTAAAATATTCCTGATAATTTCACTTTAGAATTGTTTTGTTTCTTTTGTATAACCAAATACCTCTGATAATTTCACTTTAACGAGTCATGGAGAAATAAATGAGGAGGAAAAACTGACATTTCACCCCCCAATTTTTTCGATGTCGGGTCGTGTGAATCTCGGTTCAACCGTGGTTGACCATTTTTAATGGAAATTTTAACATAAGGGCATGTTTGATAATTTTTCCAAAGTATAAGGACATGTTTAATGTAGAGGGGCATATTATACCTATAACCTTTTTTTTTTCTTCTGTTTTGGAATGATAGAATCAGGAAATTTGTGTGTATGATGTTGGCTTATGGTTTTTTAGTTGTTAAGGGTTCTGATTTGGGTTTTGTGTTGTGATGGTTCTGACACTAAAAATTGTATTTTAGAGCCGGGTGCAGGATTTGGAAACACAATAAAACAAAGTTTTTCGGTTCAAGTTCTAGAACTTGTTTAAACAAACAAAGTGGAAAGTAAACTTTTAATGACCGTAAACACTGCTATTGATTGTGATTACTTTGTCTTAAGTTGTTTCAGTGTCAAATTCGGTTCTTTGAGACTGGAAATATATGTATGTTAATGGTGATTTTGGTTTGAAAATTGGGAAGGGCGATGCTCCTTTCAAATCCTAGATTCAACTTGTATGACTTTGTTTTGTCAGTTAGGAGAAAACTTGATTGGCTATGATGGTCTTGAACCCTCAAAACAGAAAGTTTCTTTTAAGGTTTCAAAAACATGGTTGAAACAAAGAAAATCAAAAAAATCAAAAGTATAAAAGTTACATGTTAAATGACAAACCACTGATGTTGCTTGTGATTAAGAAGTCTTGTATTGTGTTTTCATTGTGTGGGTTTGAATATCCTGCACTTGGAGATTAGTTTGAATACTGAAAATCAGTTTATGGTAATGGTTTGTGGTAATGAAGTATATGGCGTATGTGTAAGATGGAAACTGATTAGTTTGGTTAGATAATCTTGATAGAGAGTTGTTGAAGTCAACCTAAAGAAAAATACATAAAAAGGGTTAAAGATTAAGAAGGAAACGAACATAATTAGAGGTGGCAATTATGATCCAAATCCATGAATCCAATCCAATCCAATCCATCCACCTAATCAAATCCATTTGATCCAAATCCAATTGGATTGGTGGATTCATGGATCAATCCATGGATCCAAATGGCAAATTACGATTTGGTACCTATATTTTTTATATTCTACATTTCGATACCTAAAATTTATATGTTTATACGAAAAATATCATTGAAAAATTACATTTTGATACCTAAAAGTTTTCATTATGACATTTTAGTACCAAAACTTTTCAAATTTTACATTTTGGTCCAATCCTTGGATGTCATTTGGATTCATGGATCAATCCATTTGATCCAATCCATGAATCCACCAATCCATTAAATTCAATCCATTTAATCCATGGATCCACCAATCCAATCCATAAGTCCACGAATCCGATCCAATTGCCACCTCTAAACATAATCCAAAGCTTTGGCCATGTCTATGGGCATATGAGCTATGGATCCTAAAATAAACACTTTTAAAACAGAGGATTGAAAATGAGATGGGTATATGACATAAGTATGAATGGAATGGATGTTTAGAGTAGAAAATAAAGCTCGCCTGGTTTTTATGACGAGTGGTCTGTTGTTGATGGTTTCTAGCTTCTTTCTGCCGTCTGCTTCTGTCAACTTCCTTCTGCGTGTGTTTTTTGTACCAGAAGCAAAGAAAGATGAAATCCCTATTTCTTATGTTTTTCCCCTATTGCTATCCCCGTCAGTCTCTCTCTGTCGGAAAAAGGAAAGAAAAGAGTATTGTGTTTCAGTTCTATCTCTCAATCTGTCTCTGTTGTAAGCAAAAACGAAAGAAAAGAGGAAGAAGAAAGTGGCTGGGTTTTCTCGTATCAGAGGATGAAAAGAAGAAGATCAATTCTGTTTTTGCCAGCTTTTTGCTCTGTGGATCAGGAAAGAGGAAGTGGAGAGCGTATAAGATGTGCCGCCCCTCAAAACAAAGAGCAAGACGCTCTTTTTATAGGAAAAAAATTAGGTCAGCCATGGGCTGGTTCGGGTCGGACCAGTTTGGTTCTTGGGTATGTGGTTCGGCCGGTTGGGGCAAGTTGACTGGTATAAATTTTAGTTGGGTTGGACCTGGACTTCTGTTGACTTGGCTGGGATTTGAATTTGGGCTGTTACCAGAACATACTTGGGTTTAGGCTTTGGGCTCTTTTCTTAATTTTGTCAAATGTAATCACACCTGTAATCTTTGTTTAATGAATGGTGTAATTATTTACTAATCATAGTTATGATTGTTATTTAGAAATTGAAGTTTATGTTAATAAGTTGATATTTCTATTTGACTTTCTCTTCCTATTTCATTATTCCTAAATCGATGCCCAAGTCCAACATCAAATCATGTCCACGAGATTAAACAATTGCGTAATTTTTTTAACCAAGTTAAAACAAGGCAACCAACCCAAATGTTTTAAACATCAACTTGTCCATATCAATCGAGATTTGCTATTGCTAATCTGACCGAGGTAAAACAAACACGACTCATCTCAAGCACCACGAATACACTTTAGTTAGCAGATTGTTTAAGATTTGCTATTGCCAACCTTAAACAAAAACTAAAATCTATTTAATTAGATATGTTTTAACCCGGACAAAAAGTGGTGTCTACACCAGGCACAGTGTTCACCTCTATAACCAACACCTACAATCAATTCATATCAACCAGTCATGAAAGTTCGCTCCTTTATCATCTGGTTTTTTTTTTCACAGTTTAGAAATGGGTACCTCTCCACTGTCAACGTTAAGAAAGGCATCAATTCTGGAAAACCCCTCCATCTCCAGTGTGTTTGCTACCAGCTCAATGCGCTGCTTACATTTCTCCAATGCTTCCTCACTAAAGCAAACAGCAGACAGAGAGACACAAGGGTTTATGAAAAGCTACGCCACAGACAGAGCTCGCACAAGAACTTCACGTTGTTTCAACAACTAACATTCCTGACAATCGATGGTGGTGGAGGAGTAAGATTAATGCAGGTTCCACCTACAGAGACAAATCATAATATTATAAGCTACCTAAAGAGAATGAACACATGGTAAATGATATAAGTCGAGCCTCGTTGATGTCCTCATCAGTAAACTTCTCCTGCAAACCAAATTCGTACCCTGAAACTTCTCTTCCAGTGATAAAATATCACCACCTTCCTTGACAGTAATGCTCAGACAAAGTGACTGCATGCAACCACGTTTCCCCACTACACCAACTTTTATTTCCACCCATCGGCTCTCTCCTTCCCACAATAGCCCGTCTGCGGACTTAGAAGAGACAATGATTTCATCCATCTTGATAAATGGCTCAAAGATCAACTTCTCTGGAGGAGGATTTGGCATTTCAATCGGCCCGTGTGCCTAAAACGTTCCAAATGTAAGCAAAATATTACTTATTAGTGAACAAATGGAAGTAAAATAAGTTGCAGTTGTTCGGTATATTACATTTGAAAAATTGTTGGGTGGAATCCGTGGGAGACATTCGTCCAATGCTGCTACATAAACTGCAAGGTCCTCAGAACAACTGCAGAAGAAAATAAATGAACCGCCGTATACTTATTTGAAGCATCGAAAATACAAATAGAAACAATGATAAGTGGTTGTGAAATGCACTGGATTCTTGCCACGCCAGTTGAGCATCCATCTCTTGCTGGTTTGACACACAATGTTCCACACTGAAGCTTTGAGGTCAGCTCATTCCAAATCTTCAATGAGGGATTCTTCAGTAATTCTTCTTTTGTTCTCACGTCTTTGTTTATGGTGAGAACTCCAACATCGGAAAGCTATTAAGTTGTAGAGCATATGAGACTCCAGAATAAGCATAGAAGTGTTTCGAAAGAACTTACAAAACTTGGTTTGTTACCATACATGACTAACAGCCAAAGATGTAGCCACTTTATCCATACAAATCTTTGATGCCAGTATCCCAGGACCTTAATTCATGTAGCCAAAGGAAATGTCAATGAATTACTTACTATCATAAGACATGTAATTTGTTGGTCCAAGGTAATAAGGGTATACCTATATATGGAACTCCTTCTGCTTGCAGCAAGGATTGAAGTGTACCATCTTCACCAATGTCTCTGTGAACTAGGAATTGTGCATTACAAGCTTCAGGAACATTTTCAAGCAAAAAAAACCAGTATACATGGCCCAGAAAACACGGACCTGTAAGGAATACCGTTGCTTGCACTTCTTTGGCATGCTTAATCCAATCATGAAGAGAGAACTTTACAGGTTTTTCATCAGTAATATCAAACCCATTAAACCAGCGGTGCTTCTCAAGTCCTTCCATCAAATCACCCATCACTTGCTTGCGCAACTGAGATGTTAATGAAGCCCTAGATGGGTCAGTTGCTTCAGTGCAAGCATCAAGAACTTCTTCTACGGTGTGTCTCAGGACAAGAGAATAACTGTAGCAAAAAGAGGCGTGTTGTAAGTTCATATGCACAGTACTGGCAACAGCTTTCCAAAACAAGACACCAAGTGCTTTTAAGATCTCTACTCACGGCAATGACCAAACTGTCCGTGATCCAGCATTAGAAGACCGGCCATCTGAGGTGCAAGCAGGCAAGGAATAACTTCAAGCTGTAGTGGGGAAGAAAATCTCGAAAATGTTAGACATTGGTCAACTAGCACAAAGAGTACCCAATTTATAGCCATCATTTATTGGAACTAACATCATCAAAGCCTTGCAAGTTAAGCCAAACGTTTGTTCCACTTATTACAGACACTTGGCGCTCTGATGAATTTCCTCCAAAAATGACAAAAACTTTACGAATGCCTTTGTTTTGGTCCGAGTCTTCAGTGCGCAGTTTGGAATTTGATCTTCTTGGCAAATGACTGGAAATATCGACGTATGATTCAAGATTGGGAAACCTTGAGCATGCATGGTGAACGATGCTCCTCAGGATGTTCGAATGAGAGAATCCAACCTTTGAAGCTTGCTGAAATAAGAAGCTTGTCTGCTCTATTCCACTAATCTAAAAATTAAACAAAATTCAATTTGGCATATCCAGAAGAGCTAATGGCAGTGTCAGTGGAAAAATCTAGAGGAAACTACTGACCAGATTAATGTTTATAAACAGTATTGTTCCCATATCAGACCTTCCAAACTTCCCATCTGTTGTGCCAAAGAACGAGTTTGTGGATGATGGCAGAAACCAGCCATCAATTCGAGCAAAATCACGAAGGCCAAGTTGTCTAAAGAGCCAAGATGCTCCTTCACGGATAGTTCTTGTTACCTCAATGGGAAAACGAGGGGGAGTGTGATAAGCTACCTACGGAAGAAGTAAGAGACTTGAGGGTGGGTGCTCCACAAACAATTTTGTATCAAGAAAAAGCTTCAACATTTCGCAGCTTAACCTTTCGAGTTGGAAGGTACTTCCTTCTGTAATTGAAGATTGCATCATCATCATTAGAATGAAGCTCCACCTGACAAAAAAAGAGGTTCAGCAGATAGTTCATGATTAAATACCAGTAATGTCAGCAGAATAAAGAAGCATTACGTCAACCCCGTCCAATTATGGTTTGGAAAAAATTTGGATGAGACAAACACAAGAATAGTACCTCATATGGGATTAGAACAATAGGTTGACAATCAGTTCCGGAGCCCACATCAAGGATAATGGCAGTGAATTCACTTCCTCCTTCGAGAAACATTTCTACTATGACTTGCTCGTCAATACCCTTTCAAATGTTCCAACAAGCATGTGACTGTGTTAGATAAGCATCATGCCTCGCTTCTTTCGAAGATGCTTAGCCATTACGGGATAAAGTTCAGGTTACCTCTAATTTTATATCCTTTGCCTTCTTCAATGCATCGGCAACGCCATAAGCAACTGTAACACCAATGCTTGATCCTGCTCTGACTGGCTTCACCTGCAAAATGGGAATAGTTTGGGATTTAGCAACCTGGAAACATGGGTTCCGCTCTGGTTAAGCCAACATGATTGAAGCCTGCCTTTCCACTACTTTCCCTGATTTGGTGTCCAGCTGGTTGCTTGTGAACCATTTAGCTACTTCATATTCTTTGGGTTCACTTCCCTAATTGCCAATTCAGATTCAAGCATGAGTATTAAATCGTGATGGAGTAAAGGACACACTGAATTTCCTAAGTAGGCTAACAATTTTGCTTATGCTTCAACAGATACCCATATCCCTCATATCCTCACATCACAATGTATTAGAAGCCTTGAGATTTGAAAGATATTGCAGATTCCCAATACCTTGTCGAATGCACGACGACACTGACTTGATCCTGTGCCAACAAAATGAATATTGTATTTTTCCAGCAATTCCTGAGTCATTCAAACAGCAACCCAAATAAAAATTATAGTCTTATAAGCCATAATCTGCTTTGGTGCGATACTGAGAAAAGGATATCATTATTTGCTAAACCTGTATGCCACCATCTTCGCCAAACTGAGCATGAATAACTGGGAATACTATGTCAACAGATGCAGCAAGGTGCTCTGCGAATTCAGACAGAGACGGAAAACGCTAGGCAAGGCTGTAAAAGCAGGACAATTTAAGCAGCTTTAAGTTTCCTGCAGCTATCCAAGAACTGAATGAAAGAAGATATCATGAGCAACAGTAAAGTTCTCACCTTTCAAGCTTAAATTCAAAATCGGCTGGTGTGTTTGAGTATACCTGGAGAGTAAGGACAAAATTAGATTCAACATTTGTATTCATCATCATAAGTACAGTCGTGCCATCGTGAAAGTAGAAAATTGACTGTCAATCTATAACCGTTGACACGATGCATAGGAATCATATGAATCTAGAAATGTAGCTTCTAGAAGAAGAAGAAGAAGAAGAAGAAGAAGAAGAAGAAGAAGAAGAAACAAACCTGGGCAGGGGCTATAGCAAACACATTCAGGTCACAGTTAATGTAGTAGCAATTCACTTGCAGATCATCTCCCTGTCGAACAGATGGTGGGTAAGAAGAACAGTTCATAGTAACATAACAGACTTTCTTTCCCAGCAAGTGATTGACACAAAGTTTCAAACACATGGTGGGCATATTCAAAAAAATTACTTGTATGTGATCAAGAACTTATCTAACAGAGTTGAGAGAAATCCCACGCTCTGTAGATGGACCGCCGCATATACCAGTCCAACTCTGAGAACCCACCCCCCACTCCCTTCCCCCTTTTCTGTCGCGCTATCCACCACTATCTCTGCAGTGGAGCGTGGAACATTGCTCGCGGAGAATCACGCGTCGCAGTAAGATGTAAAAGAGTTAAAGTTGACCTCGCAGTTCAAGTTGAAGAACTTGGAAGAACGACCACTATAAACTACCTTCACAGCAGCAGAAAACGGCCGACTTCCGAGTAAGCCGTCCGGATGGTTGATAGACCGATAATTAATCATGTTTTTACCCCTATTCTTGAGCCGTTTGAGATGTTGATTCTCGTGTTTTAAGCCGATTTCACGCTAGGTTGTGCGTTTATGTCATATTTCAGGACCCGGCGTTGGAATCGAGGCGAAGGAACGAGATTCGGGTCGAAAGGAGCAAGTGAGGCTTGAAGTGTGCTGGAGGACAAAAATACCCGGCCATGACCAGAAATACCCGGCCAGGTATTATTTTGAGGAGACCGGGTATTTGGCGTTTTGGACGTCTGAGGAACAGAGGGGGTCACGGTCGGGGATTATTGGACATGACCGGGGATTTTTCCCTGAGGCAAAACGCGCGTTTTAATAATACCCGGTCGAGACCCAAAATACCCGACCGGGTATCGCGATAGGCAGCAGTTTTAAGGGAAAAGAAGGCTAAAAATCAAGGGTTCCGAGTTTTAGAGAGACGGAGCGATTCCTAGAGAGAGAAAGCGGCGAACGAGAGTTCCCAAGTGTTATAGCTTGATCTTCATCACCATTGGAGCCCGGCTTGAGCTTGAAGAAGTGTCGATTGTCAACCAGGAGCAGAAACTCATCCTTCACAGTATGATTTCCTCGTCTGAATCTGCTTTTGCTTCTCTCTCCATGGAGTAGTTTCCCCATTCATCTGGGTATGGGGAACCCTAGATTTGTATGTTAGGTCTGATTGTATGAACCCAAGTACAAAGTTTATGATTTGATTATATTCGATTGAGGCTTGAATGATTGAATGACTTGAATCCTGATCAAATTCCTGTTGTTTCTGCTTTAACCTAGAATGAGAATATCTGCCTAGGTTGATAGAGCATCCTTAATTGAAGGTAGTGAATTGGCGACTTTAGTCGAGGAGCCAATTCGCTATTCTGTACCGAATTCAATTCGGTAGTGGAGGTTTGGTTCGTTAGGGCCTCAATCTGTTTACTCCGGTGGAGGTTAGTCGCCCGCTGGAGACTCAGATTGAGAGGGTCTGGAGACCTTTAGTCGAGACTTCAGACTGTTTAAGAACCTTCCGCAGTATAACTTTCATGAAAACTGAACTTGGTAAATTGCAATCCGGCTTAACTGCAGTCTAGGGGGAACCATATCCGGGTGACCTCTCTCGACTTGAAAACAACCGTTTAACTTGCTTTGTTTGTTACTGCTAGATAACAAGAATTCACTGAGTAGTCATCAAATCTAGGACCCGGGTTGACATTAAAACCCAAACCCGCTATACTACGCTTTAGGAAGTGGTTACACTTGGCCAATTCTAGAGTGACAGTAAGAGTGAGTCAAATTTTTGGCGCCGTTGCCGGGGACGGCTAGGTTGTTGAAGAAAAGTGATTTCTGTTACTTTAGCATTTTCATTTTCGCATTGATGTTTGTTCTTTCCCACTTGTGCCTTCACGGGTTTGCATTGCTTGATGTGTGCAGATAGTGCATGACCCGTAGCCAGTCCGGAGGTTTACTGCCGTTGGATCCAGAACTTGAACGCACCTGCCGCCAACTTAGGAGACAACAGCGAGCTAGACTGGCTACGGAGAGCGCATAGACGGCCATTTGAGCAGCGAGTCCGAGGACGAGTACGAGATGGAAGGCGATCACAACCCACAACCTCACCAGGTTCCGTGAATCAGCTCTTGGGGAACACCCCATACCCCAGCAGATGGGGTTCATCATCATCCACCACCACCGGGTCCCACCTTGGAGTACTACTACACTCCACGGATTGCTGACATCCGCCCGGTCATCCTCTATCCGCCCATTCCAGCAAACAACTTCGAGATCAAGCCATGCTGGATTCAACTCATTACATCCTCTATCCAGTTCCATGGCTTGAAGGATGAGGAGGCCGGGTGCATCTTTCCCGTTTTCTGCAGCTGACGAACGGGTTCAAGCTGAACGGTGTCCCGATGACGCAATCCGCCTTCACCTCTTCCCCCATTCTCTGGCGGGGAATGCTAAGAGGTGGTTGGAGACCCAGCCCCCATTGTCCATCACTTCTTGGGACGATCTGGCAGACAAGTTCGTGCACAGGTACTATCCGGCATCGAAGACCACAGAGATTCAGCGGGAGATCACTCACTTCCGCCAAGAGCCAGATGAGTCACTTCGTGATGCATGGGAGCGGTACATGGGATATTTCTGGCAGTGTCCCCATCATGGCTTCAGTGATGCATTCACAGTGGGGAACTTCTACAGTGCTCTCTCCCCAGACAGCCAGAGGGTGATTGAGTCTCTATGCCCAGGAGGGGATATTCTCACTAAGACTCCACCCGAGCTGAACCAGATGATCAGTACCTTGGCTGCCCGAGATCATTCCTGGGGGCAGAGCAGCAGAGGCAGAAATTCCCGGGACCGTGGTGTGCACGCTATGGAGGCCAGGTCCGGGTTAGAGCAGCAGGTGGCTGAGTTGGTGCAGACATTGAAGCAGCCCAACAGTCTTATTCCGGGCCGAGGTACAGCTACGCCTCCAGTAGCTCAGTGTCAGTGGTGTGAGAGCCCGAATCATCTGGTGGAGGACTGTCAGGCTATGAGGGAGTCCTCTACTCCCCAAGAACAGGTGGACCTCATCGCCAATGCTCGGTGCCTTGACTCATATAGCAATACATACAATGAGGGGTGGCGCCAGCATCCCAACTTTGCCTGGAACAGCAACACCACTAAACCACCTGGTTTCCCAGCACCAGCGGGTGGTTTTCAGCAGAGGCAGCCCTTCCAGGCTAGGCAGGGGCCACCACCAAAGCAGCAGCCCTACCAGCCTAGGCAGGGGCAGCCATTCCAGCAGCCCCAGCGTCAGTATGCCGAGCCAGCAGCAGCCCCCCCAGCTCCCAATAACCAGATGACCGAGCTGAAGAATATTTTGGCGGCATTCATGACCACCAGCCAGGCGAATTTCACGAGGGTGGACCAGAGCATAGCCTCTCTGGAGGCAGGACAGAGGAACCAGGGTGCCATTTTGCAAGATTTACAAACCAAGTTGGTGCCATAGCTCGCCAAATTACTACCCGGGTCCCGGGGACTCTACCTGCCACCACCGTCCCCAATCCACGCGAGCCGCACCAGCAGCTGGATGTCATTTTTACCAGGAGCAGCAAGACCATCGCTGATCCTGCCCCGCCAGGCAGGAGGAACCACTACCTGCTTCAGCACTTCCAGCCGACGATGCAAAGCGCGGGTGGAGAAGGAAGCCCCTGCCCCCCCAGCCACAACCAGTGGTTAAGGAACATGTGCCCCAGCTTCCCTTCCCCACTCCCCTACATAAAGATAAGCTGGAGACTGAGTTTGCCAAGTTTATGGCAATGTTGAAGCATCTCAACATCAACGTACCATTTGTGGAGGCACTGTCGAAGATGCCCAAGTACGCAAAGTTCATGAAAGATCTCCTCATCAACAAGAAGAAACTTGGGGATCTCTCGACAGTGCTGCTGAGCGAGGAGTGTTCTGCTATCCTGCAGAACAAGCTGCCCGAAAAGCGCAAGGACCCAGGGAGTTTTACTATCCCTCTTACTATTGGCAGCATGCATGTAGGCAAGTCCTTGGCGGACCTAGGCGCTAGCATAAATGTCATGCCATATAAATTGTTCAAAAAGCTAAACCTAGGTGAACTTAGCCCTACTAGGATGAGCATTCAGCTAGCTGATCGTTCCGTTGTGCATCCTAGGGGTATCATAGAAGATCTGCTTGTCAATGTGGGTGCATTCACATATCCTATTGACTTTGTTATTCTGGATATAAATGAGGATGTGGATGTACCTTTGATTTTGGGTAGACCCTTTCTTGCCACCGCCAAGGCACTTATTGATGTGCATAATGGTAAACTGATCCTGCGTGCTGGGAATGAACAGGCTAAGTTTTCTGTGACTGAATTCGATCACTGTGCTATGATTGCTGTCACACCTGTGCATGCTATTTCTGACCAGGTACACGAGTCTGTCGTGTATCCTTCTGCACCTCTCATTTTGCAGGATCCCCCTCTCACTCCTTCGCCGCCGCTCCCTCCAGCCTCACCGCCGAATAAAAAGCTCAAAGAGGAGTGGCGGCCGAAGCAGCAGGTGCCTAAGCCCACTCGGAAGAAAGGTGGAGACCACTATGAGCTGGTCCCACCTCCTGCATCATGATCACCCTGGCCATCCGCGTACTCACTTGCCTGCATTCTGCCGGATGGCCAGGTCGAGCTAACCAATGCTGGTGGTTGCACCCGTCGGGTGCACGATCACCACCTGAAGCTGTACCTCAAGAGTGACGTTGATCCGCTCTTGGAGGCACCTGTTCTCGCGGACCCTTAGTTCCGCCATGGGCATCCAGCTAAAAGACGGTAAAGAAG